GCGATTTGGGTGAGCGGTGAAGTTGGGTCGGTTGTTGGTGGTGGTGGCGATGGTTGGGCGGTGGTTCTGGTGGTGATGGCTGCTAGGCGGCGGCTATGGTTGCTGGGCGGTGGTTCAGGTTGTTGGGCAATACTTTTTGGATTGAAGTCTTTTGGGGGAAAAGTTATTAGGGTTAAATTAGTCATTAAGTTTTTAGTTAACTAGGGTTAAGCTTATAATATCATTATGTTCACCATTGATTTTTTTTTTTTTTTTTTTTTGACAAGCACCATAAAATAATTATAACTAATTAAAGTTTACTAATGATATTAAGTTTTTTTTTTATCGTTTACCACTAAGAAAATTAAAAATATGAGTTCACCAAAGAGAATTTTCCAAACATAATTTAACTTGTACTCAGCCTTATTATTCCTTATATTAGTTTTATCTCATCTCATTTATAGTATGTATGTCATAATTTTCAAATCAAATCCATACACAATATGATAACAAAATTGAGACATTATACGATCCAGACACTAATTTTGTACTCCTTAATTAATTAGAAACGATGGAAGGAGGAAGTACGTATTTGTTTTCTTCGTATGAAACTAGGTGTTATGATCTAAATTTTCTTATTTGGTCAGGACAAGAGTTTTCTAATTGATATAATTGTCTAATTTGGTTATTGTCTTTAATTTTATGTCAATGTATAAGAAAAACATATTACTCGTTTTAAGTAGGGTCTTGTTTGGTTTGTTTCAATTAAAGGTGTCAAATCGGGTACCCAGATGGAGTTTAGGTTGACCCACGATGGGTTAGGATGTTTGGGTCGGGTAATGATGGGTCATTTTAATCTAACAAACCAAATCAAATCGGGTTGAGCTTAATTAGATTTGGGTTAAAGTTGAGTTCAAGCATGGTTAGATACAAATCAAACTTGGGTCAAGTCAAATTCGCGTCGAGTCATATCGAGTTAAGATGAACTCGGATCCGGATTTTATCGGGTTTATTTGGGTCAAAATGGATTTATTTGACTTTAGATTGGGTCACTTCGGATTCGATTAGATTTCGGTTCTAATCAATTCAGTTCCGCTTAAAATTTGAATCGGGTTACTTCGATTATTAGCTCATTCTCAGTTATAATAACTTTAGTTTCGATTTTAAGTCGACTAATTTGAATTCGGGTCAATCTTAATTCAAGTCGTTTTAGCTATATTAGAATACATGTCAGGTCATGTCATTTTTGTTATTGGAGATTTTCATTCATATATAGTTTGTTGGGTTTCATTTAATTCAGTTTCGTATTGGCTTATTAGAATTGTTATAAGATTCACAACTCAAGTTATTACAGAAAATGACAATATATCGCCTTGATAGGGTGATTATCACATTGTTGTAAGATGTTATTTTCCTTACAGTTTTGGGTTTATCGTCGTCTTTGCGGCTATTTATCATTGTCAATTCATTGGCAACGCCATTATTAGAAGTATTAAGATTGTTTATTATATATTAGCATCTAAATCGTGATTAAGAATACAAGATTTTCAATTTTTAGTATTGTTTGAATTTTGTTATTGTAATGAAGTTATACCCCTCCATTTTGTAATAATCACAACGCATTTTTTTCACGTTGGTTTCATAATAATTCTAACACCTTATTTAGTAAGAACACATTACTAAGGGTCAATAATGAATAAATGTTACTTGAGTTTGATAAAATAAGTTTTAATAAAGGTTATTAGAATTTAAATAAATTACAACTAAATCAAGCTATAATAAGATCTAATAAGTTTAAGTCCATTTAGATAAGGGTTTGTTCAATTCCCCTTATTTTATCTTATTTTAAGACTATAAGTTCAGATAATATCATATAATTTTAGATAAGTTTATTCAAATTTAGATTAGTTCAGATAAATTCAAATTAGTTCAAATAAAATTAGATAAGTTGGATAATTTTAGATACATTCAGAAAAGTTCATATAATTTTTAAAATATTCGGATTAGTTCAGATAATTTATAATAAATTAAGATAAGTTCAGATAATTTCAAATAAATTCAGATAAGTTACGATAAATGAATATAAGTTTAGATTATTTTAGATAATTTAGATATTTTCTGATAAGTTCAAATAACTTCAAATAAATTCAAATAGGTTCAGATTGATATGAGTTCAGATAAATTTAGATATGTTTATATAAATTCAGATAAATTTAGAGTTGTTTATATACATTTAGATAATTTTAATTAATTAAGTTGAAATAAAATCAGATTCGTCAAAATCAGGTGAATATAACACACCTAATCACATTAATATATCATATACACATATTCATGTTATAAATTTCAAATTTTATACATTTTAGGAACTATTTTTTTTTTTTTTTTTATTAGGAATTATATTTTATGGTATATGATCATTTAGGATTGTTTGACTTTAGAGTACTAAAATTATGGACTAGTATATCGATCATTGTACCGTCCCTATAATGTTGACTCCATTCAAATATTCTTATTGCTTTGCTGTACCACTCTTTACTTCTGGAGTATCTCAATCTTTCCTATAAATTAAAGTTTTTTTTTTTTTTTTTTATTTCATTTTATTACCAATTACCATTCCATTCTCCGCCTCCCTTCTTCGTTCTCTCTACGATTCACAACTTAATTCATGAGTTATCATTGATTCGCCTTATTACCAATTACCTTAGTTGTGTCGGGTTATGGTCATGAAAAATTTTAGTTAGGTTAATAATAGGTCGGATTTATTGGATCATGAGTAATTTGGTTTTAATTGGGTCGTGGAAAGTTTCAACTCAGGAAATTAAAGGTCGGGTAAAAAGAGGTATTTTTCAAGTCTAAATCGTTTCGGGTAGATTTCGTTTCGGGCTAGATCGAATTCAGATTTTATATTATCGGGTCTTATTGGTTTCAAATTAAATATGAGTCGATTTTAAGTTGGGTTTGGATCATAAATTACCGAGTGGAGTCGGTTTCAAGATAACGTCGGGTTGACTCCAGATCGAATTCGGATAAAAAATACTCGGGTCCAACTAGTTCGAAAACAGTTCGGTTTCAGATAAATCTTATGGGTCGGGTAAGTTTTTGACACCCCTAGTTTCAATGAATCAATGTGTATTTTTCATAATTTCTACAAATATGAAATTGACAATGACCATACAGATATAAAGAGTTATGATCTGGTCTTCAACTGAAGTTTTCTTATAATATCTAATCTGATCTTATTTAAGTAAACAAGAAAAAAAAAATATATATATTTAGTAGAGTGTACGTAATAAGAATAAGATGAAGAGATCAAGAGAACAAAACTTTATAGATTAAGACATTTGTCTTGTATATTAAATTACTCTAGTAGTACTCGTATTAATAAAGGCCCGGTTTAGTTAATATAGTTGATAGCTAGAATTGATTGTGCTAGCTGGTTTGACTAGCTAATTGTATAAAAGTATTTGTTCAATAATTGTTACCTGATACCTACTTGAGCATGTAAAATTACCAATAAGGACATTGACCTATATTAGTATCATAAAGTTTCATATGTGGCTAGCCACACCGTGCGGTCAGCCACAATATGAGGCCCAACCGCGTTTTTGGCTGGCCCAGTCCGTATAACGGAGTCCCCCTCCGTTATATCCCATTTTTAAAAAAAAATCAATTTTTTTTCCTTTTTGTCTTAATTATGTTAATCGCCATTTCGTCTCCCTTGTCACTTCAACTCCATGCAACTTTATATCTTCATTTCTACTCTATCGATTCTTTTCTTGGATTGAATTTCTTTCTTTAATTCACTCTCTTCTTTGAAATTCTCTTTCCTCGTTGTTGTTTTCTCTAATTCGTACTCTACTTCGATCTACAATGGGCAAACTTAAAATCGTTTTTGGGAAGGGTAACAAAGGCTTGTCTGCGAACAAAAATGGCGACGATTCTGGCAATTTCGCAACCCTAGTTTTTTAGTATTTATGCTTCTTTTCGATTTATTTTTGAGTTCTTTTGTATTTTTTAGGTTTCTGATTCTGATTTTGTAATTTGTTGTCAATTCCTTTTTGTATTTTGTTAAATAATTTACTTGTTTTGAATCTTAATTTCAAAACCCTAGGTTTTCGTTATTTTTAAGTTTCAGATGTTTTTAGCACTTCTATTTTGTTCTTTTTCGAATTATTTGATTTCATTTGTATTTTAGGTTTTGAATTATGCTTTCTAAGGTTTGTTGATCATTTATCTTGTGTTTGTTATTTTGCATCATAATTTGATATTTTCCTTTGCTTTTCCTTTCATTTTTGTTGTTCTTGTGTGATTTAGGTGACTTCATATGTATTTTAGGTTTTGGATTTTATAGAGGTTACTTGTACTAAATATAGAGGTTACTTGATTTTATGTGTTTTACTATGTTTCTTGTATATTGTTTGACATAATCCTGAATTGTTGGAAGAAGTTCTGCTTAGCTTGGAATAGGTCATTGTATAAGGGTTACTACTTCTTCATAACAATATATTGGGGTTACTAGTAGTGTACATATGTTTTACTACTTGTTACAAAATATAGAGGTTACTTGATTTTATGCGTTTTACTGTGTTCCTTCTACATTATTTGACATAATCCTGAATTGTTGGAAGAAGTTCTTAGCTTGGAATATGTCTTAATATGTTATTGTACAAGGGTTACTACTTCCACATCACATTATATAGGGGTTCCTAGTTGATAAGTGACATTTATGTCATTTTTAGGGTGTTTTTACGCTTATTTCTTGGTTAAGTTTCTATTTATTTCCTCTCTTTTTAGCCTTTATTTCTCTTATTTTCTTAATCTCTTCTTTTATCCTTTAACTTGGTTATTTTTGCTTTTTTTTTTCTTTTTTATTTATTTATTTATTTTTTAAATCAGTTTTTAGCCTATTTTTGTTATTTATTTATTTCTTAGTTTTAGAATAAATTTCTCATATTTCTCTTTCCTTTTTTTTTTTTCCAATTCTAATTTAGCATTTCATTTTATTTTACGTTTATTTATTATTTTATTTTATTTTTGTATTGTTTGTATAGGTGTGAATTTGGCATTTTGTTTCCATTTGAGGTCGTGTTCGAGGCACAAAACAGAACCATCCTTAGCACCTACCCACCCGGTCACCCCTCCTCATTTTCCTTACATGCTCATTATAGGACATCACAACTTGAAAAAAGTTGAGTTATCGTTCTCTCTAGGAAAGGTTCTGTTCTTATCTTTCCCACCGCTTCACAGACGCATTTCTCACCGCTTCCCCTGCTCGCCGGCGATCGGCGTTTTCTCCTTTGCCGTTGTCAGCGAGTCCTCTTCTAAATTAATTCCTTTAATTTTATGTGTTTCCTTTTTTTTTTTTTTTTTTTGTTGCACAATAAAGAAGACTAGGAAGATTGAAGTACTGAATTTCCTTTAATACCAATCGGAGGTTGGTTAAGGTGTTGGTGAGGTTCTAATTATCCAATGAAACAAGAAGCCAAGGCTACTCTTAATGCCACCGTCGAAAGGAAATTCGCTAATCGTGTTCCTGGTGGTAAATGTGAAGTTAAGGCTAAGGTTTTCTCCCTTAATCCAAGGTTTGGGTTTCAGTGAGGGGTCTTCTTGCGTTGGTCTTTGAAGGCTTTTGTTGGGGTTAGGTTTCGATTCCGTCGGTGAGGTAGTTCTTTATGGTACGTACTCTTCTTCCAGTGACTCTCAATGTCACTTTGTTTGAGTTTGCCTTTTAGTTGTAGTTCTTGATTTGGTTTGATAGTTATGTTTAGCTTATGTAGCTTGCTCTTTTCAATGTTTAGTTTTACAATTTTTTTAAAAAGTTGGTTCTTTTGCTCTGGTTGTTTGTCTTGGAGTGGGGTTCCTTATGGTTGTTCTAATTAAAGGATTATTGTCTTTGGGGTCACGTTGGGCAATTTTGCTCTTGGATTTAGGGTTTACAAGGTTAGGTAAAACCTTATTGCTTGTTGATTTGTTGGTTTTGTTGGTTGCCTTTTCGAGGTGATACTTTGTTTGGAAATTGGGTTTGCTATATCTTCTAGGAGGTGGTTTCATTTGTGCAAGAGGAATAAGGTTTACCCTGCATTTGATGTATGCAGGAGGAAGGTGTTGGTATTGTTAAGGGAAAAGGTGGGTTTGCTTATCCTGTTATGTCTTAGTTGTGGGATGATATGAGTATTCTTCTGGTTGCTATCATCCCTTTGTTAGTGTTTATGATGACAAAGCCAGTCATCGTTGTAAATCTACATCTTGAAGGAGGCTCCCCAACTTTAATGTTTGGGGTAAGCAAAGTCCTCCATTTTCTTACACTCTCTGTTAGTAGAGTTGCAGGAAGGGAACTTGCATTTTCGTGCAAGGTTTCCCATGATAGATTCATTAAAAATATGACTCTTTTGGTTGTCTTCCCAGACTCCTAGGAAGTAGTTATACTTTGCGTTCCCTGGGAGTGAAGTGGTGTCAAGGACTCAAGGGTTCTTATTTCTTCAACAGGGGGCATTCATCTTTCAGTTGGTTTTACTTTCAGCAGCTTCCACTTCTAATTTGCTTTTTTGTTTTGGCAAGTTTCAGTTCTCCTCATTGCGTTCAAGCTACAATCTCTATTCATCTCGAGTTATTTGGTTAGTTTGGCAATGCTCGGTCCACATCACAGATCCAGTAAATTGTTGTTGGTTTTCTCGGCTCCGAAGTCAATGGTGTTATATAAATGGCGGTCATCACAGGTGGTTATGATATGGTGGTCATCATTGGTGTTATGCTATGGTTCATAAGGATTCCCATTCCTGTTAGCGTGTTTGGTTTGATATGTTGGGTTGTAATTTTCTTAGTTTCTTTACTCTTCTTAGATTGTAATCATGTTTGTCGTTAATAGAATCTTTTGTCAAAAAAAATAATTTAAAAATTGCCTATGCTGCCACTCTTATTCCCTCTTAATCTACATCACCTCAAATCATTAACCATCACCACACACTCCCCTACTCGTCACAGCTACCACAACCCACCTCTGCTCTCAATTTCATTCCCCTGCTCCCTCACCTCACAAAGACAACTCCCCAATTCCACCATTTACACCAATTAGCTGCCACTCACCGTTTCCCATGTATCTCCCTCGCATCACCACCACCAATTTACAACACCCACCACACCAAATCCTGACCACCTCCCCCACACAAAGCAGCTCCATACCGCAACAATGTAGCAGCAGCCCGCATCTCAAAAACGAACACAGCAGTGCTACCTGCAACCACCGTCAGCCGCCGAAATAACCACCAGCACCTCCAATTCGACCCACAACGGAAACCATCGCACTTGGTGCGCAGCTAGTAGCAGTACGCTCCTCACCCGCAAGCAACAATTCAGCCAAAAAGTCAGTTCCTTCGGAGCGGGCACTTCGATTGCTTGAAGCGGACGCTCTTAAATCAACCAAATTCAATTTAGAGGTAGAATACATAGAGCGATCGCTCCGAAATCTTGAGCGACCACTCCGTTTTAGGGGCTGATTTGTACGGAATTAATGACCTTGAACGGTTGTGATTCATTCAAGTAAACCAACGGTTATGATTGTGCTTAAATTGTTGATGAAAATGCTGAAGATCGTTGATGATGATGCGTGGTGATGATGAGAAGGGAGCAGCCAAGCAATTCACGAAAACGAAGGGAACTGGGGATCTGATGGGATTTTGTTTTATTTTCCTTTCTAATTTCATTTTATTTATTTAATTTACTTTTTCTATTTCTTTTTCTTTTTTTTTTTTTTTTTTTTTTTTAACTTATTTTCTTTTTATCCCTTTTACTAGTTCATTTAAGTTTTATTTTTCTTAGGAAAATTTAACAGGAATAATCCAACCTTTTGTCCGTTATCTCATATTAATCCCACCTTTTGATTATTTCTCATTAATTCAACCTTTGCCCCCTTTTTTCTCACAGCAACCCTTGGAGGTTGACTACCGTTACAACCGGTTACAAGTGCTACGTGACACTTCCTAATTGGTTTTTTGTTTTTTTGTTTTTAATTTACTTTTTTTTTTAATTAAGAGAAGAATAAAAGAAATAAAAATAAAATAAGAAAGTAAATAAATAAAGAAAAAGAAACAAACAAAAAAAAAAAAAGAAAAAAGACCAGCCATACAAATCCCCCCCAAACCGACCTTTCTCTTCCTTAATTATGTTGGCTGCTCACATTCACCATCATCAACATAACATAATCATAATCGAATTGGAGGTGGTGGAGGCCAGCACTGCTGTCGGTGCTGGCTGTGAGGCTGTTTCGCTGACGGTGTAGCTACTGTTGTAGTGCCGGTGAGGGGTCTTGTACTCACCCTACCCCCACCAGCCCCGAAACCCTCACTTTACCCCCTCCACCAATCTGAACCCCTACCTCACTTCTCCCTAAGCTTTGAAAACTGGTGATTTTTGGGGTGACCGGTGGTTTTTGGGTTTGGAGGAGGAAGAAGGAGGGGGAGCGGCAGGGAGTGGTGGCGGTTCAGGTGTGCGCTGCTGGTAGTTTGTCAACGCGGAGGAGAGAGAAGGGAGTTTCGTGGGTGGTCGTGAACAGCAGCGTGGGGCTGCGGTTGGTCGGAGGGGGCAGGTGATCGAGGCGATGGTGGCGATGGCGGAGCTGCGGTGTTGGGCGAACAAAATGGGTAGCACTGCCATGGCCTAGGTTTTCATGGTGGGTGTAAGGTGGTTGAAGGGAAGAGGGGGTGGCTGAGATGATTTTTATTTTATTTTTTATTTTTTTACACATTAAAATTAATAAAAAAAAGTAAATTTTAAGAAAAACCAATTAGGAAGTGCCACGTCAGCACTTATAACCGGTTGAAACGGTCAGGTGACCTGTAAGGGTTACTGTGAGAAAAAGGGGGGGGGGGAAAAGGTTGAATTAATGAGCAATAATCAAAAGGTGGGATTAATATGGGAGAACGGATAAAAGGTTGGATTATTCCTATTAATTTTCCTTTTTTCTTATTTTAAGCTTGTATATAAATACCCATTTTGTGGATTAATATTCTATCAACTTTTTTAGCCTTAATTAGAGAGTTAGATTAGGATTTAGAGAGAATATTAACTTAGATGTAGAAAGAGAAAGTGTGGTTTCCTTTAATTCCTTCATTGTTGAACTTCATGTTATTTGAATCCAAGTTTGTAATTAGTAATTTTTTCCCCTTATCTCTCTTTATTTTGTTTATTGCTTTCTATTTTGATTGTTATCTTTGTTTGTGGTTTAGTTTTGTTGCTTGTTTTGTTCATCCTTGTTTGTGAATGATGATTTGTTTTGTGGTGTTACTTGTTTCATCTAGCTTAGGTTTAATGGCTTATCTTCCTTCTCTAGGCTAGATTTCTAGCTAGGGGAAGGGGGTGAAGAACCTGGACTGATGTTGACTAGATGATGATGGATGATTGATTATTATGCTTTGAATTGATGATTTGTGTTATTAATTGCTTGGGATTATTGAGTGCACATTTAATTCCCCAATTTGAATTGTTGCCTATTTTGAATGCACGGGAGTGATTTAATTTAGGTTTTAGATCTCAATAATTATCGATTTGCTTGAACATTTGCATGGAAATGAATTGTTTAGGTAGAATTTATTATTCCTTGGCTTATTAATCTTGATTTCCATCATTATTTTGATATGTTGGCCATGTCTGGAACCTCTGTACCCCCTAGCACTTTTTTTTTTTATTGCGTGAAACCCTTTGTAATTGTGTTTGTTAGTTAATTTTAGTGTTTAAACCGCAAAAATACCAAAATTATACCCCTTGGCTCTTGTGTTCATGAATTTTATGATTGATTTGCTTTGCTTCCCCGTGAAGATATGACCCTTACTTCCACTATATTCATTTATTTTTGTAGTTAGGATTAATTTGATAGGAGGACTTTTAACGACGATTTCTACACCTATCAAATGTTGGCGTTGTTGCCGGGGAAGCGGCTTGCTTATCATTTATTTCGTGTTTGCCAAAATCATCTTTAATTGCTTTCTTTTTATTTTTTTTTTTCCTTTTGCTTGTCATTACTAACTGTGTGCTTAGCGTTATTAAATGCAAAGAAAATCACAAGGGTCTCTTACACATCAAGTTGATCTCGAGATTGATCAAACTCTAGACAAGTGCGAAGGCTCTTTGAAGAGGAGTCCCGAGGTCTTGGGGGGATAGTTGGTAGTGAAGTTGATTCTTCTTGTAGTCAATCGGGAGAAATGGCCGGGCAAGAGGATGACATTCTTTTTAGAGAGTTTGAAAATCCGGAAAGTTATGAGCTCATGGGAGGCATTCTCCTTCCAACCACCGAGACAAATTTCACAATCCATCCTCAATACACTCGGATGGTGCACACCGAGCAATTTTCCGAAAGTTCTAGTGAAGACCCTATTGAACACTTGGACCATTTCCTTGATGTGTGCTATGATACAAAAGAACCAAGTTAGCCAAGAATACATTCGTTTGCACCTCTTTCGGCAATCACTTTTCGGAAGAGCAAAAACTTAGCTAAAGCATTTGAAGCTCAACTCTCTCACTACATGGAAGGAAGTAGCCAAGGCCTTCCTCAAGAAGTTCATCTCCGAAGAGAAAACCGCAGCAATGAGAAGGAAGATTGCTTCCTTTGAAAAAAATCCGGATGAGACCCTTGGGGAGGCATGGGAAAGGTTCAAGGAGTTGACAAGGTCATGCCCTCATCATGAATTCAACCAAAAGCTTGCTCATGAGATTCTTCTATGATGGGTTAGAGCAAATGTTAACAGCAAATCTAGATGCGGGGGCCGGAGGGCAATTGATAAAGATTCCTCAAAATCAAGTTGAAGCTACTATTAAAGAAGTGGCCAAGAACTATTCATGGGGAGGTCGAAGGAGGTCTCAAGCTAAGAAGGGAGGCATATATGAGTTGAAAAAGGTCGATCAACTTCAACATCAAATTGAACTCTTGAATAGGGGCTTGCCAAGTTGAACTCAAGTGGTGGTTCAATTTCAAATACTTCACAAGTTAGTGCTTTCTCATGTGAGAATTGTGGTGGCACAAACCATGATACATCTTATTATAGAGGGTTGAATCCTGAACATGTTGCAGCTATGATACAAGGTAAGATGGGTATAGAGACAATAACATGAATATGGCTTGGAGAGGACCACCCCCCGGTTTTTGTCCACAAACCCTGTCTCAACCCCAACAACAATGGCAAGGGAACACAAATCAACAGAACGAACCTACATTCAATCCAACCAATTATAGTGCATCAAACCAAAATGTACTTCACCCTTCCAACGAATTAGGGAACTACAACCAAAGGCCATATCAAAATCAGTCTCCTCAAAAGTACAATAGATTGAGGAGATTGATTTTGGTATTGTCTTTGGTTGTTCGTTCAGGTTTGAAGAATTCTTGGAGAAAAAAATATGGTGGTAAAAAGCTTGAAGTTAATGTGAAGCGGTTGGATGAATTTTTAAATTTTGATCCAAAAATGAAGTTAGGAAATGATGATTACAAGAAATGTTTTGTGATGTTTTCAATGATTACATTGCTAATGGCAACTTCTAATAGATTAGCTGATTTGAAGCTTGTTGCAGCTTTAAGAAAATGTGGACATGATTAGCCAATATAATTGGTGTCAATATGTTCTTGATGATTTAGCTGATAAATTGAGTTCGTATAAACTAAAGCAAAAGTATGTTGTTGGGTGTGTTTTGTTGCTGCAAATATGTTGTTTTCATGGGCTTCAATTTAGAAGGAATGCTAGTCCCACATCTCGATCTACCATTAATTAAACACTGGAGTAATGAAGACTTCATAAATAGATTATTGGCTGCTGAAAATGGTGTGTATGGTGTTGGTGAATTAGATATAAAAACATATCCAATAACTTAAGTTGGTTCTGCTGGAGTTTTTTGTTAAGCAGGATCAAGAGGTAGAAAAGGAGGATC